GCAGCATGAATTATTCATAATGGGGGAACAATAGGCCCCAAGTAATTCATACACAGAGAGGCTTGACTTTTGTGGTAATATAATAGCGATGATAACATGTGCATTCATGCGATTAGACGGATTTTATTGTTTACCACCTTAGACCAGTGAGTACTCTGGACAAAATAAAGAGGTCACGTGCGAACAAGAGGATTGATCATTCTTTCAGTTCCCACCACCCCCCCCCCTCCGCCATCACTACCATGTTAACCTCGCTTGGTATTAGAGGTTAGCCACTGAACGTGACCTTTTAACCGCAGTCCATAGGGTCAACAACTACTTAACTCAAATAGCTTTGGTGTCGTCATTCTCTCTCAGCTAAAATTAACTGAATTATTGATTGGTCTATCTTCAATTTTCATATACTATAGCTAAAGAAGCTTCAAGTACGTGTTTTGATATCGAAGTAAGAGATCGTCCCTTTCAGACTGGTTTATGTACTTTATCACGGACTTTCTTTTCATCTAAACATAAACATGATTTGTAAGTCGATTTAATGAAAAGTACAAGCGGCTTTAGGAATTTGAAGTCCATATTTAGGAAAATTCGCAAAATATATATGAGATGATTGGTTAAAACGATTGATTAGGATAAATACGAGATTTTAAATGTCTTTATGCTTGAGGAAATACGTTGCAAAAGCCGTATTGATTTCTGATTAGGGTAAATTTAAGGATGACAATAATGTTTACGAGCTCAGCACTCTATAAGGTGACTGAAATGGAGAGATTAATGTGCCCTCATTAAGTCGCCGTTACTGCATGAACTTTTATGTTACAAAGCTAATATTCAGCGAGGTCAAAGTGAAATCATTAACTTGGGCGAATGAAACTTGATTTTACACTAAATCAATAGAATTTACCAGATTTATTTAACATTTCATTTTGAATTTGGACATCGTCAATTTCGAGAAATAAGACATAGTTACCACCCTCTTATAGACCAAAATATCGATCTGCCCATTGACAAATGACGCTTTTAATTTCCTTTTGACTTTATTTTAATAATTGCATTAAGCCTCCTCCCTCCTAATGACCGTTCACAATAAATTTCAGTAGAGTGAGCTTAACGAAAATGTTGGATTATGGTATGCTCAGCATAATATAAAAACGTTTCTTGGCGAAAGAGACAATTGATGTCACTGTGGTACTTTCAGTGTTAGTCTAGGTAGGCATTGATATGGGTTCAGGTCTTCCATTTGCGGCTTATTCGTAGGCAAGAAAGTTTTTCAAGCATCTATCAACCTAAGACACCTAATTACTAACACATTACCACTCAATCTTTTATATTCGTCACTTCGAGCATTCGTCTCTTCCTTCCTCATTTGCAAAATATGAGATTTGAGCGCGACCAAACAGATGACAATTTCGTGATTTAAAACCAACTCCTACAACAATTTTCACTCACATGTCTTGAAAGCTTAACACTAACATTGAGTTCTTGCAAATTTAAAGTAGTTGCGGTTGATGCGATCTTTACCGCATGTGGAATTGTCTATTTATCTTAAATCCTCCAGTACACCCCCCTCCTTAGATCAGTAACTATCGCATTTACTTGTGTCGAATCACTGAAGTGAATTTTGCTCAGACAGACTTAATTCAAAGAATTGCGAAACTCTTTAAGTTCTAGAAGTGGTAGAAGTAGCTACGCCGTAGAATTGGTCAAGTACTTTGCTCCCTAAAGTGGTGTTTATTGTCAATTATTCTTGAGTGCTTTCTTGAGTCTCTAGGAGAACACTCAAGTATCTGGGAGAACTAGACATAAATCAACGAAGTTTATTCGGATTATCGTAGATCGGAATAAACTCCTCACACCCCTCACCTAACAGGTCAATTAACTAAAATATTTGAAAAGAATTGAGAAACACTACATGACACCTTATTCCTAGTTTGTTTATTTATTTGTTCATTTATTTATCTGTTGCGATTTACAGCCCCTCCCCACATTGAATAGGCGCTATGATCGGCATGCTTTCAAACGCGGGTGTTAGCATGAACCCTCGTTAATTTATGGCTTTGTTGCAGTTGCGAAATTATTGACCTTAAATCTGAAAGTCTTTCCTTTACTTTAACAAGAGGTCAACTTACAGCTTCAATTTTAATAGCTAGTTCTGAACTTATATCAAATTCGAATGCAATTTGTGCTAAAAGGGTAACAATTAAGGTCAACTCAATGTGATAAGATTGCCAAAGCCTACTTACAAAATTTCCATAATAAATATCATTAATCACATATATAGAGAGGATAATGCTATCTCATCGTGGTATTTTTACCGGCACGGAAGTTTTTTTTATTCTACTTCAAAATCCTTCTGAAGTCGCTTAATAGCCCACTCTACCAACAGTTCCTTGAGAAAATCTGCACAAATCAGCTGCCCACCAAACCCCCCCCCCCTCTCCCGCTAAACCTACCTCACTTCGGGCCTTACCGCAGTTTTTATCGGAAATCAATAGCATAACAAAAGCTTTAGTTCACTTTATTAATGCTAGTGGTCCACTAAGGAGGTGGGAAATGCGCCCAAATAGCACTGGGTGGTAGAGGATTTTAGAACTGGGGGGAATAAGTCAATTTTTCTGGCAAAAAAAATGCGTAAAAACCAGGGCACGAAATTTAATAACCAAGCTTCTCCTCTGCCTCTCTTTCTCTCTCCCAGCTAAATTTATACCAACTCGGGTAATCAACAGGCGTCTTATGAGTTTTAATCCCTACCAAGAATGACAGTTGGGATAACTCTGTCTTAAAAGGATAAAATATTTGCCGTGATTACATTTTCTACGCAGTCCTCTTTTCTCCCATAAATATATTCTCCTCCAAGTAGCCACTATTCACTTGGAGTTATTTTAGTCTTGTTTCAGATAAAAATTTCGGTGTAAAGGTTATCTAGGGATGGATATCTTTGGGTAGAAAGTTGGTTGCATTGCGCACGGGGAAGTGAGAGATGATTCTATTGTTAAATTCCAACTTCTCTCTCCGGTTAGATTCCCAATAGGCGGAAATAGAATCATGAATTTATAAGAAAAATTATTTCTCTATTGTACTTCGAGAATGCCTAATTTGAATTACGACCCAGTTGGGTTGAATAATGGTGGTGGTGGATGGGGAGGAGGTGATGAGAAGGAGGATTAGGCTTTTAATCGTCGGCTTTTTATTCCACTGAGAAGGAGAAAAATAGGCATCGTAATGCTTATTGCTTAGATTAACATTCAAGATAGCTTTGGGTTTGATTTTAGTCCATATCTGAAGTAGTCATTTTAACCCGTTTTATGGCAAAATATTGGCCACTTTGACAAGAAGTTTAAAGGTCGACGTGCCATATTTGGTTCAAAGATGTACTTCAATGATGATGTGAGTACCAGAAGTCTAAGATGAGAATCGGTGCTTCAAAGCAAGAATGATATCTAATGAATTATGAAGTGCTAGACAGTACTCGCAAAATTATGGCGTTTATGGGTATTTAGCGTGTGATAAAGAAACGCGATTAAACATGTGCATATCTAGAGGCACATCATGCACGTGGTTTCATGTGTTTAACTTATAGGCGGCGTTTAAATCAAAATGTCCAGGTACCGGTGACTTCAAGTCTCTCGTTTTATCACACCTCTCTCTTTCTCTCATTCTATTTGGCTTATTTGGAAAATGACTCTCTCTCATTAATAGATTAGACACATTTATGTGGCACTTCAATATAAAATTTAATGGTAATTACAATTAAAGAAAACTTCGGTCTTAAATGCAAAGCCATGGTTGAGGTATATTAAGGACTTGGACAAATTTGGAACATTCTATTCAGAAGCAACTTTGATTGGCGAATTTCCTGATCGGACGAAGTTCGAATCGTTTCTATTCCAAGTCAATTTAGCTCACACCCAATTTCATCGAAATGGATTATACGTCGATCAAACAGTCAAACGAGACTGGATAAAAATTTGAAAAGAAAAATAGAGGAAAGTCAAGATAAAACGAAAATATTAATACCTGGTGCGGCTTCAGCACAAATGTCTGGCACGAAGAGATGATACCTGGAATGTCACTAAGTGTACCTGATAAAACGCACATCTCTGTGCTCCGGCGCACACGCCGTCGATATGCGACTTTTAAAATGAAATGCTCACGTATCTCATTTTTAAGAAGCCACACCTCCGCACACAGAAGTCATTAGTCAAAGCTCCCATGTCTCTCTGTCAACCACCCACCCCCCCCNCTCTGTACAATTAATCGATTGAAGTACGAGTGAACTAGTTGTAGATACCTGGCCACATCTCCAGCCTGCACATACACTCCAAAGGCAAAACTAGTTCACTCGTACTTCAATCGATTAATTGTACAGAGGCTTGGATAAAGAAATGTCACCAATTTAGCTGGCTGCATGCTATTTACCCGCAAATAAATGGGGCTCTCTTGATTTAATGAAAGTTATCAATTAATGCTTCTAAAAGATGCTTGACTTTAATTTAAAGTATTTCAGGAAAGGAATGCTTCTAATCATATTTATTATTGTAATGCGACGAATAAAGGGGTCTGTTATTTAAAGGCCATTAAGAATTACTTATTAAGTAAATAAATTTGTCGATTTGTTGAGCTAAAGGGCTGTTGATTCATAAACCGATTCCATTATTAATGAAAATTGTTATTATTGAGTACATACTGTTGAATGACAATTATATCAGGAAAAAACTTGCTACACTTTTTATTGTTTCCACAAAAAATTCAAATCATAACCGTATCTCATAGATGAAACGAAATCAACGTGAAAAATCTAAGCCACTCCTAAATTTGCTGCACTGTGATTGGCTGAGACATTACCCAATGTGGTAATAGCATCTAGGGTTAAATCACAGCGCACGAATGTGATTGGCTCACTCTCCTCCATCATGAAGAAGGTTTGTTAGTTGCATTTATCCTACCATTTAGTAGTTCACTAGCTCGTAGTGCAGTAGCTTCTTCGGATTTAGAAAATAGTAATGGCAGTCAATGGTGAAGACAATGCAAATGCTGCAGAAACTGAGAACGTAAGTACGTTAAAGGCAACACTGGATTCTGGATTTCATTCACCAAAGCGCCTCCTTCGGGGATGTCCACCTACCCCTCCTTCTCCAACACAATCTCAGGCTTCGTCAGCAACACGCGCTCGGACTTCTTCTTCGGAAACCGAACTTCCTGCTCCATTGAGTACTAATTACCATAATTTGCATTCATACCTCGGAACTAATTTAAGTTGTGAACCACCATCGACTCCTGAATCTCTCTCGCAACCTCAACATGCTGGGTCGGACCATTCAGAGCAATCTCCTCCACAAACTCCTGAATTGGATTCTCTTACTGTTCAACATGAACCAGGGTAAGTTCTCTATTCCATGCATAATTCGTATTACGGGGACTGATTTATGATTATAAGTCACGACTTAAAGTAGTACGATTGTCTTGCTGGCTTTCTTAGCATGAATTTTTTCGATACTGTTGTGCTCACGAACGTCTGATTTCAAGAAAAAAAGTGTACGATTGAAAGGTTGTTCAGTGAGTAGGTTACTCTTTTTTTGGTTAATCGCAATTCACCCAAAGAGACTTGCTTAAGCTTCAATTTCTATCTAAAATAACGCTATGTTTAAGTGTCCCTTGTTCCTTCTGTTAAATTCGTAAAATTTTTTTTTCACAGAAAAATGTTCGTTGGTGGACTTAGCCCTTTCACAACTGAGGGTAAGAGCTCGTAGTTTTGCACTTAAATTGTCCTGCTATGGATCGGTGTTATCATCACCTGTCCTTTTTTTTGAATTCAGACTCACTGAAAATATACTTCGAGCAATTTGGAGTAATCCGAGAAACTACCGTTATGAGAGACCCCAATAACAATCGCTCAAGGTGAGTTGACCTGCCCTTTTAACACTCGAACATTAATGATTATTTCGATGTCTCGAGTAGTTCTTGAAGTGGTAACAATCCTGCGCTGATCTAATAAAATTTTATCATTATTTCAATAGTACATGACCCGATCATGTACTTTTACTAATCATTTAAGTGTAATTAGAAAGTCCGCGTGTGGAATCACAGCTTATTCTTCTCTTCTTCAGGGGCTTCGGTTTCGTGACTTTCGAAGATCCTGATTCTGTTACTGGTGTATTAAATAGTCGCCCCCATCAAATCGATTCAAAAATGGTAAATAATAATTGTTAATGTACACTGGGGGGGAGATAGGCTATGACAACTTTATTTATTGGTTAATTTTGCTATTTTCTTCCAACTTTAGGTCGATCCAAAAATGGCTGTGCCTAAAACGAGCTCCTCCCGAGCAAAGGTGAGTGTTTTTTCCCAGAGGTCTTAGCCTCCAACCTACTTCCTCTCTTTTTTTAACGGACTTACTGGTTGTACTGAAATTCCTTGAACCCCACCCCACCCCCCACTACCTTAGTTTTGGAATCTTTTAATTTCAGTATAACCAAAGTGGGTCAAGATCTTTCTCAAGAACCCCCGAAATGGTAAAGTGATAATGCTTATTCTCTCTCACACACGCACACACTCACTTCGGGCAGTTTAACTATGATCCCGCTAAAAAATAGTTTTTCCTTATTATTGGCTTGAATAATAAAGTGTATGCTTTCTACCCCCTCTTTTCAGGCTCCCCCTACCGTGAATAGAAAGGTGTTTGTCGGTGGTGTTGCTGAACGAACAACTAAAGACATAATGCACGAATACTTCTCCCAATTTGGACAGGTTCGTTTCATTCCCCTTTCGCCACGTGCGTTCGCCGTGGTATTATATGACTCACTAGTATACGTGGCAATAGCCAGGAATTTTGGTTGTTATTGTTGTTGCTGTTATTTCTGTCAATCTGAAATTGCGACCATTTTTCTTCCTAACTCTTTATTCTTGGTAGATTGAACTCTGCGCCCTAATGATGGACCGTGAAACCAATAGGCATCGAGGTGAGCCAATTAATTTAGTCCCTGTTTTTAGTAGTAGTAGTAGTGGGGTATGGGATGGGATTCCATTCCAGTTTCTCTCCCCCCACTCTCTATAGAGGTCATGGTTTTGTGGAATGCGATCGAGTTAAATTCGCTATTTTTTTCTGTTTCAAGGTTTCGGTTTTGTGACCTACGAAAAGGCTGAAGATGCAGCAAAAGTCTGCAAAATACATTATCACACTCTTGACGAAAAGAAGGTTAGTCTCATTTAAAATACTTAGTCATTTAATTAATTAAGTAATTGGGCCAATCAATAAAACTTGCGTGCTTTTTTTGCAGGTGGAAGCAAAATTCGCGGTTCCTAAGGATCAACTTAGGGGGAAGAGCAATGCGTTGAATCCATTGACTGGACGCAATGCTTACAGTAAGTCCTATAAATTCCCTACTCTTGAAATAAGCAATTTAAACTTTTACTGTGGGGAAAGGGTTGGGAACTTAGGACACCCAATTAACTCATTAAGTGCCTAATTGGTTGTTGGTTTTTTGTTTGAATGTAGATGATGAAGGTAAGTACTAAATGTACGTTTTGGTAGATTGTTACTAACCCAAACTTTTGTGTAGCCCAACTCTTTAATGGAACCTTTTACACTGAATACCTGCCATACGGGTTCTACTGGACAGAGAATGGTGAATTGATGTGTCAGATGGTGTCCATTAGTGTCGACCCTTTTGGAAATTATCTGATATATTATAATCCTCCGCCTCATTTTCCAGCTTATCCAACTCCACCTCCAGTGTCACTGCCAAACCACTTTCCTCAAGCTCTAGGTGGGTTCAATATGCCCCAAGGCCAAGCAACTCCTGATGCTTATACCTACTTGCCAGGGTATTATGTCCATGCTAACGAATTCACCTTCAACCCCAATATCTATGCAGCTCCTCAATTCTGGAATGGCTATCCCAGCCTCCAGAATTAAGAGTGAAAGTGAATTTTTTCCACTCTCTTGGGGGGTCAAATTCAAATTGGCACTGACTTTGGGCCATCACTTCCCCCCCCTTTCTCTCTCTTCTTCTCTTTTCTTGCCTATTCAACAACATTAACTGTTTGTGTACAAATTGCATCTTCTCAAAAAATGACAACATTTCAAACCATATTTTGAGCTGCTCATTTGCCCCCACCTCTCCACCCACCCCTCTTCCATCCTATAACCTATTTTTTATAAATCTTGTCATGTATGCGCATGGCAGTGTATCTTCTGTTTGAGAGCAGACTTGTGATGAATATGCATTTGTGTGTGTGTGTGTGCGCGCACTTGAGGATTTGCACGCAATCACCTTGTTACTCGCCCGAGGTACCCACAGGTGATTGCTCCCCTTCCTATCCTGGAATTATTCTTTGTGATACTATCGTCGCGTTTTTTTTGGCAACAAGGGCTGTTGCTTCATTACACGCGTATTGTTTAATGTGAATATAACGCGCGATGATCTACCCCTTCCTCAGCTCCGCTATCCCAACTCTTTCTACTTCGTGCAATTATATATAACTATTTTTCAGACTCGACTGCCAAATCTCTTGATTTTTAGCAAGTCTGTAAATGATGTCTCCTCTCAAACATTGTCCTCCTCTCACTCACTCACTCTGCTATGAAAATGTGTGTTTGTACAATGGTTTTTTTTTCTCTGGCAGCTCAAATCAATAAATTCGTTGCAATGTGCACACTACGGTATAAACCTCCTCTTTCATTCCCATTTTACTGTCCGCTTAACAGGTCGGTCTGGGTTGGTGATTGACAATATGGGGCTTGTATTGGCACTTGACTTAAGTAGAACTCCGGTCTGTAAGTCATTGAGCGTATTACTATTTGACGAACAATCGTTTAACTTTACTTCATTGTTGAACTGCAGAAGTTCGTAGATATCTACTGAGTGCTTAAGAGTGTGGATAGCACAGGTAGGGGCAGTATTCAAGCACCCTACCGGACAAATCCTCGCGATTTCATTTCTACAGATAAGTGTAAGTAAATGGACCAAAGAATCCATAAATAAGACAATTCTTTAAAGGTCCTCATCAGGAGTTTGTAACGAGGTTAGGATGTTGAGCTCCCCAAAGTTAAGTTCTCGCGTTTTAATTTCGGGTGGTCGATTCGAGTGGTTGATTGGTGATTTTCTGCTGTCACAAGTGCATTTTGACGATTATTTTAGATGTAGCGATTAACTTTATAATTCACCCTTATAAAGAAAAGGTGTAGCCAGCAATAATCAATGGAGGAGGAACATGTCCATTCACACTAAGCATACGGTACTCCAATCTTGGATGAGCCTTCAAGGGCACTTTGTGAGCAAATTTGTCTACGAAAGAATGGAAGCCCTAGCATCTTGTAATGATTCCACATTCTGGGATGTTATGGTAGGGCAAGAATTACCCCCTCCCCCCCCCCCCCCCCCCACTTGACATTAGCAATATAGCTCCAGCAAAGTTATTTATTTATTTCAAATGGGAGGCGTTTTGATAACTATCATTAGCCATTTATCTGACTTCGGGCTTCACAGAGGGAGGGTTCATCAAAGTAGCAGAAAGTCGAGGTGTGGGAAACAGAGGAGCGATTCACAGATGCAAAAGAGATAGACAGACACAAAGGTAGGTGAAAGTGTTGGAATATGGCATACAGTGGGGTGAGAAGTCAACTGCTGGTTAATAGAATTTTTTGCCGTATGAGTATACGTTGCCCAGGGTGCACCACGTGAAGGTAAGTCTATCGTACACCCCCTCCAGCAAAGTTGTTCGATCTCAAGTTCGAAAACCCATCTTGTGATTCAAGTAGCCAAACCAATTGCTCAGAACTTGCTAAAGTGACGAGGTTCTCACCATGTTCCTTCTTTCTCTCCAGAATGATTATTTTCTCCATGGAATTTGTTGCTTGACAATGCATGATTTCACACTTGGAATCAGCCCCCATTTTCTTACAATCATGAAATGGTTGGATTTCCTTTGCCCCGGCAAAATCGAATTATTATGTTATTTGAAAAATTTACTCATATTCGTGCATTTGTTTATAATAGATAAGATTAGCTTAGTCTTGTGTGTGTGTGGTGGTGGTGGTGGGGGGGGGGGGG